TTCTATTTTCATTCCCAATGACTTTTCAATAATCGATATAATTTTAAAAAAGTTTCTTGATTTTTATTGTTAATGTTGATCGTACCATGGGCTCAAAATGGGCAAAAGATTTGGAGTGAGGGAAATGAGGAGATTTTAGTACATATTAACCTCCCCCCCCCCACCCACCCACCCACCCCTTTTCTCTCGCAGTTTCCGGTGGGCTTTTCTGGGCCCTTGGCGATCAAAAAGAGGCATTGCGAGTTCCGTAGCGGGCCGCATCCATATCCGCAATCTGTCTCTAGAAGGGAAGAGACTGCCATTAAAATAATACAGTTAAGGAAGGACGATAACTTCGACCCCTAACCACGGGAAAGGGATTACACTAAGGTCTGATTAAATCAGGCCAGATTACGAAATTTGGCCGTTTGTTAATTGTAGTGGACAAAAGAAGTGGGTTTTGTGTGGTAACTGGAAGTGAACAGATGAAACATTAGGAGATTTCGGCTTTGTATAAAGCTTAGTTGCCGGGAGTTTGATTCTGTCGTATTACTCTGCCGTGAAATTATTAGGTGTATAGCTTGACAAAGGGAATGTCTTGTGGACTGTATGTAATTCAACCCTTTTTTTAATTTAAGCTCCAGTTTACTTAGCTCAGAAGTTTCTTCCCATCTTCAAACGATTTTCTGTGAGAAGTTGACGAAGGTATTTTGTGTTTTCTAAATGTCTTCATTGAATGTAAGCTTTATGATAGAGATCAAAACAGTCTACTAGCTCTAACGAAAACGCCCGAATTCCGGTGGCTTGATTCAAATGAGTTTCAGTCATAAGGCCATTAATGATGTTCATTCGTTTCAACATCATATATACTGAATGAATTCTAACAATGAATATCGAGACCAATGGAATTATTGCACAAATGGAGAAAGATTCTTTAGAAGCGTTTTATTATGGCTAACAGAAAATGTCTTGTATTATTTTTAAAACACAGTGATGAATCTTCAAGTGTCAATTTTAATTATCCAACAGCGGTCTCACCTCTTATGTCCACGAAACCGTATCGCAAAAAGAGACCAAATACATCGCAAGTTGGAAAGCTAGAGTAGGGAGAGCTTCTTCAAAAAATTTCAAACCCACTTTGTCCATCACCTAGTTATCATTAATATAACACTCGACTGCATATTATACTTAAATTGCACTGGAACAGATTTTCCCTACAAACCACCGCTGGGTGTCTCGACGTTAATATTTATTAATGGAATTAGTTTTGCATTTATTTCTATCAATGATTTTAATTATATTAAATGGCAGGCGTTTTGAAGGTCATCATTAGCCCTTTAGTTGACTTCAGGCTTCAGAAAAGGAACATCAAAGTGAAAAAAGCCGAGAGGGGGGGGGGAACAGAAGAGTGTTTCAAAGACGAAGGTAGAAAAGGTAGAAAAAAGGTGAGGTGAGTACTGTGGAAGCATTCGAATATGGCAAACTGTGAGGAGGTGAGTACTGTGGAAGCATTCGAATATGGCAAACTGTGGGGTCATGGCAGTTTGAAGTCAGAAGTCAACTGCCGGTTAATAGACATTTTTGCGTATGAGTTTACGTTGCCTAGGGTGTACCACGTGGAGGTAAGTCTATCGCACACCCCATTTCTATCAATAATATTTGATTTGTTGATAAATAGACCTTCATCTGTTTCTTCCTCATATTATTTAGTAGTTTAATTTAATGCGAAGGAGTGCTAATATAGGTAGAATTTTAACTAACGCAAGGCTTCGAGCTTGGCAACTATAATATTAGGTGTGAATGTCACTGGACAAATTTTGGCTAGAGGGTTTTTTTAGTGTTTTTTATTCATTTGAACCACTTTGATGGCCTAAAAACTTATACTCTGGCCTTCTATTCCTGATTATTCAATCCGTTCAGATCAAGAACTACTCTAAGAGGAGTTGAACTTGACTGGGTATTGCTTTAAGGAAGCCATATTGTGTCTAATCAAGATTGTGTGGTAGGTGTGATCTCTAGCTACTATCAACCACTGTCCAAAAAGTGTACCGATCGTTCGTAAAATGTTTCCCTAAAACTGTTTGGGTCATTCATTTTTTCTCAGTGGGGCCACCTGCGCGTCTGCGCAATCATGTCCGATCTGTTGAGCGTCTGACCTTGTCCTTTCCTAGTTTCACAAGCTACGTCTTAATTCATTAGATCCAATAATTTTGGTAATAAAGTTTGGTTTTACCTATAAATGCCTGTCTCGTAATCAATTCATATTTACGCCAAATATACGATGTACCGAAGAAGTGACTAAAGGAAGTTCATACGTTGACAATAAGACAGGGAACTTAAAGATCCACCTATTTTGGAGGTACTTAATCGAGTGGATCTATCCCAATTCTTCTTGGTGGTGACCCAAAGTTGCCTCATGTATCTGACAATAGAGTTTGGAATTTGCATTCAATGGTTCAGTACGACTGGGACCCAATAAAGGCTCTTTTGAGCATCTCTTAATCACGCATTCATATACTTGGAGAAATGGTCATTTCCAGATTCATTCAGACTTATATTATTTAACAAAATAACATTGATAGGAATTTTTGAAGGATTCGTTTAAATGTTCAATTGATGGAGGCACGGGCAGTTTGAATATTTAAGATATAGTTATTTGCTTTTCAAAAATCAAGTACTCACCAATGTCTCAATATCTTTCAAATGGTTACAGGTTGTATAGATTGATGTCAACTAAATTCAGTCGGCCAAGCTTCTATGAAGAGGATTCGCCTTCGAGATGTAATAAACTATCTCCCTAGCCATCAAGTTTAAAATTACTTTCCAACGACGAATAGAAACAAATCTGGCACGATTTTACGGTTAGAACAGATCAGCCATGACGTCAAGTTATTCTTAAGTGCATCTTCGTGGCAAAGAACAGCTGAAATTTATTAGTTCTTTCTCATAAAGATCAGATCTCCACTTTGAAAAAGGCAACATGAGAATTTCCACCGGTAAGAAGCTAGTGTTTTGCCTTATTAATGGCTCAGTCTGAAGGACTTCTGGTACCTTACTCCCATCATGTAAACTCACGAATGATAGAATTACTGCCCATATTAAAGCACCATACGCCGCGTTGGCTTTACATTCAGAGGAAGTAGCCCCAATAGATCATTAGAAGAAGTGACGCCACCTCTTCTATCGAGCGGAGCAATCGAACGCGCGCAAGCATATACATATATGCTTATCCGAACGGCATGATGTATGTTAGTCTCATAAACAAAAGAAAATTGAATTCTAACTTCCAACTATCAACAAGTGGTACACCCATGACGGCTAGTAGACCTGCTCATAATAATTGTAACTCGATGACTCACAAAATCAGACAACCTCTATCAACTCATTTCGCCCTTTTACTCACAACTTTGCACGCACAAACGCTGGTTAAATGCTTACAATCAACTATCGAATTACCCACGTTCTCTTCCCCTCTCCAATAACACCACAACCGTCAAATACAAGGATGGTCAAAAAATTCCAGCCTTGCTCATTTTGAGAAAGAGAGTTTTAAGATTAGTACAAATAGCCAGGCGCTCCTAAAGTACCATTCATGATGGAAGCAAGACTACTTGAAGTTGCTTTCTTCAAAAGTGCCTGGTTTCTCGAAAAATTTGACCTAGGTAAAACACAGTGTACAGATCATAGATTTCTCATACAGACAAAACTCCAATGAATAGTCGAAACCTGCCAAAACTAGAAGTCGAAAGCAGCAGTACGTAAAACACAATTATTTTCTTTATCGATAAATACACTACTTACAAACCGGGGGAAAGAGGATAAGCGCCTTCTAAGGAAAAACCAGACTTAAAACATACGAATTCAACCATATTAAAGTGTGATAATTTTTCCATGGCCCAATATTTAGGAAGAAAAGGCTGATTTTATATACAGGATGATAGAGCTGATGGCAGTCATCTTCTTTTCTGAGAAGACCTTCCGGAGGGTGTTGAATTTCCACCAGTTTTGCGTCGAGATGAAGGGCTTCGTGAACGCCGAGACCGTCTTGGTGATCTATCACGATGACGACTCTAAAAGAACGGACAAAAACGTCAGCCTACTGAATCTTTATAAGTAGACTTCAATTAGAATCACTTCGCATTGAGACTTACTTCTTCTTCCCGATACTTAAAACGTTTGCGAGCACTGCTGATATCATCTGATGAAGTTTCATCTTCTTCACGAACTGCCGTCAAGCCATCACCTCGAGAGCGCTTAGCTGTGGAAGGAGATAAAGAGTGATCCTTTGAGGAAGCATCAGGTGATTTAGAACGCTTGTGCTTGTTTGACGATCGATCTTCATGTCTACGACCACTATTGCTGCTGCCATGGTGTTTCGACGACGAACCAGATGATACTTTTGAAGATTTTGAAGGTATTTTTGCTTGTTTGGACGAGGACGTTGAAGTCTTCGACGCTGACGATTCTGGAATAGATGAAGTCTCATCCAGCCGTTCAAGCAAGCGTTCTCGATAACGATCCACTTGCTAAAATACATACACAGTCATATTTTACAGAAAAAATTTAATTATATCGAAGAGAGCCTACGGCTTTAGAGTGAAACACATGCATAATTAGCTTATCGATATTCCAGATAATTTAAACATTAACTTTTGAATTGCCAAAATTTTAGATTAGCATACTTTAATACACCGGTTTACCAACGGCCCATTCACTTTCAACTGAATTGCTTTTGTCAGTTAGATTAACACAAACGAATTTCAAGAATCCTCGATCCTTCTATTTTGCCTATGGTGGTTACTGAGGTCCTTTCCAGTATAAAATCAATAGGATCTCAGTTTTCCGATTTTGGCTACATAAGGCCTTAATGTAACTAAATTAGAATAAATAGGAAAATGACTTGACGTGTGCAACAGCATTTTTCATACATCATTATGACTGAAATTAATGATCGGAACACTTCGAAATTTCGCTACTCAAAGAGTGTAAATAAGCGTTGAAAATGGTTTTCAAGTGCACAATCAGCCCACCTGTTTAATGGCGTCCTCAGAAGTAACAGAATCTCCTCGTCGTTTCGCTGACTCTAATTCATCTTGATATTTCAGAACTTTCACTTCAATTTCTCGCAGAGCTTGTCTTCGGGCATCAGACATTGGTTCATTCGCAAACTGGGAAGAGGATGAAGGAACTTCAGATGTATTTTGTTGAGGTGAAAGTACAGGGGATATTGCATCATCGTCGTCGTACGCAACAAGACCCATTCCGGATGCACAAAGTGTATCAAGGGGTCTGAAAGGAAAACAAGTAGAATTTTACCCTTCGATTCTATTCCAAGTGCCAGTACACTTAAGTTTAATCATCCTAAGATATCGGTAGATCATGATCGATTAAGACCGGGTGAAAGATATGACAGAAGCGCAAGCACCCCAAGGCACCTTATTAATTAATAAAATATAAGTTATCGCCAAGGTACTAGGATATGGAGCCCAAAACACCGTCGGACAGCTAACAGATTCCGACCCAAATAACTGTTGAGCTTTAATCGATGAGGATAATAAGCGACTTAAGGTCAAACTTCGGAATTGCTCACACCAATATAAAATGAAAGTCGAGCTTTATATCGTCAGATTCCAATGATATTGACTTCCTTTAGTGAATGCCTGACAACTATATATTCTTGTGAGAATGCCTAATGAGGATTTAAAAAGGGTATTCGTGAACAACTGTCCAGAAGAAACCTTACACCAACGAACGCCAATAGAACATTGTCTAGTTCTTTTTATGCGCACTGAGCACTATTATGTACGAAGAATTGAATTTGCACAAAAGAGGACTAATATAATACGATAAAGCGCAACGCAAATAAAATATGTGGAAAGAAGTAACTGTCGTAACAGAAAAAAGTAACCTTCAGCATTAAAAAACCAACTTAGGTAGTAGAAAGGCTCTATAATAAATTTGACCAATTTTAATAAAAATATATTACTTAAACCACATGAGTAACATATTAATACTTACCTTCCATCTACATCCTCGTCACTGTCAGGTTTCGATACTCCCGCTTCCGCCACTTGATCGGCAGGAGATTCAGCAGCATTAGGGTCCACGAATAAATCCCACCGATTTGACGTCACAGCTTCTTCAACTGCCTTGTCGGGATCAACAGATTCCCATTTTGAGGGAACAAAGAGAGGAGCTGATGAAGTCTTTGGTTTACCTGCTTCGGGAGCATTCAGAGAGCTGAAAATTGAACAATTTCGAAAAAAACACTAAGGTCATTAGCATTGTAAATGCAATAAATTTTGTATCAAAATAGCAAAACATTGATGAAGTAGTTAGTGTGAATTTCTGTCAAGATAGGCGCTATGGAGTTGGTCACTTATCGGTGGTACAGATTATCAACCTCGCTGTTAAATTCTAGTCATCAAGAGGGAAAGTAGAAAAAAGGCCTCTCATAAGAGAGACCATAGAATGACTTACTTCCACCAAAGTATATCAAGCGCTATTGGCGCTCCTTAAAGTGAACTGATGAAGTACATGAGATAAATATCCTATAACGGTTTTCAGTTGCATGAACGTTCAGTCATTTTAATAAACACTCATTGCACTCCGAAATGTAAGTTTCCAAAAGGACACAACGGAGCATAACCTAGCCAATCTGCCGGTCTAAAGTTTTCATAACCTACAGCAAACTTAGTGAAGTTAATCGAAGCAAGAAAGACAACTAGTCCCCAAGATACCGGGTATCAACATCACCGATTGTCGTTTTGATAGGCCCTTACTTCCCCAACTATGCATCATAAGTAATTCCTGGTCCCAGGTTATAAGCCTTGTTACGTGAAAATAAAGATGGAGTTAGACAAATTCATTACTACTGGTTAATGCCTTCAGCAATCATCAATGCCGTCTTCCTTCTCATCACCAAAAACCTGATAAGGTCGATTGGTTAAAGCCGACGCCTGAGAGATAGAGGGAGTAGACAGAGATAAAAAAACCAACTTCTAAGACATGACCTCTATTTCTATAAGCATGCGAGACATACTAACCTTATATCCAATGGAACACCATCAAAAACGTCATCGTCTTCAGCACCAGCATTTCCTTCAGGAGCCAGTGGGCTACCATCAACATCCAATGGATCCCCATCATATTGAACTAAAGGAGCACCATCAAGGGATTCAACATTTCCATCAATCGTAGTCATTTCGGCAGTAGCAGGACGCGATTCACCATCCAGAGGCACTCCTGCCAGCTCGTCTTCGTCCAAATCTCCTCCCGTCTTCGCTTTGGTGATCTAAATGCAAACGATAATAAAGACTTCTTTATCGTTTACATCTACTCCACTTATTCTAGTGAATTAGCGTTACCAGACAATCAGAGTATACTCTTGACCTTCTATAAAAGTACAATAAATCATAGTATGCTAATGAGCCAATAACCTACAGCACGAACGTCCTTGCCTGCACGCAATCTAATATGAACGGAACATGGGAGAACATCGGCCAATGGCCAGATTAAGAAATAAAAAATAAATATATTTCCTGATACGGGAAAGAGCAGCGATAATATGACAGCTTTCTTTCAACCTTTACACTCTTTATGCTTATCATTTCGACTTCTATCTTGCATAAAACTTACGGTTTTATGCTCTTTTCCATTAACTTTCTTAAAATGGACCCAGTTACCCAGACGCTTCGATAGGATAAGAAAGTTGAAAGAGCAATGAGTATATAGATATCTGAAAATTTAGACACAAATTGAAAGGAATTGGAAAGATAGTAACCCCGTCATAACCCCTTATTCGTTCAACTAAACCACCAAAACTACGTGTTGCAAGTAGGCTATGGAGTACGGCAAAGGCTAATGAAATTCGCATAAATATATCACAGATAAAACAGTACATTAGGTGTCAAACCCAAGAAGATATTTTGAAGTTGAATGAGAAAATCGTTTGGATAAATGGCCCATTCCTCCCAGGCGCGGAAACACGACATCACCTTTTGCTATAAAAAGGGAAGAAGCGAACGATATAGCTTTACAATTAAATTGCGTCAACAAAATTATAACCCGCAGTAAAAATTGCAAGCAGCTAACCTTCATTTGCTCCGTCTTCAATTTCCCCTCCAAATCGCGGTATAAGGTGCCAAGATCAGTGAACATCTCGAGCAACCGATTTTCAAAACTGCCAGAAAGCAAAATAGCACTTATTATTTTTATCACTTATCGTAATACAAACGAATGAGTTACCGTAAACTTGACAGTTTGTAAAAGAGTCTTAATGCCAATATTTCTTTGATAAAAAGCCTTGTCTAACTAAATAAGGAATACTGCATCCATTTCTAAGGAATGAAGGAGGCTCTCTTCATTCATGGTAATTTACCTCAAACCAACTAATAAGATTATTTACAATCATAAGTATTTCAAATCATCCCGAATTCTTGAAAAGTTAAAAAAGGTACTGGCTTATCAAGGACATAATACTAAAAAATTCCAAGACTTTAACCCTCCCCCCCCCCACCTCCAATAACCTCCTACAGGACTCATTTTTGTACCCCTTCTCATTTGTACAACACTACAATGAGATCGTTACTATGTCGTGATTAATAATTATAATGACACCAATAACAAGACTTTACTGCATTCAAATGCGGTACTATTTTTTTACTTCCGTTTGCATGCCTGACTAGCACCTGACTAGACTAAGAAGTGGGGGAGGTGGAGGACGCAAGGTATCGAACATTTTTGAAATTCAATTCAACTTCTCATAGTAAACACAGTTCGCAATGCGATGTCAAACAAAAGAAGTAATTCGAATAAAGGAAAGGTAAGTAGTTCATAATAGATATCGTAGTTCACACATTTAGAGCAGAGCATCTACTTCCCAAGTCCCTTAATGAAAACGTTTTGAGCGATTATTTCGGGTAAAAGGAAATAATCGCAGAGACCCACCCCCCCCCCCCCCCCCCAACTACACCTGATTAGCAAAACATGACTCACCATTTTCGATAGAACGATGCATTAGACACTTTTGCCCCCGAATTGTAGAGAATATCCGAGGCCAGGAAGAGTCTAGCCATTGCGGACGGAATAGATGTTGGTGGTTTCAATGCGAATTCATTTTCACTGCTATCACTCTGTGTAGGCACTTCGCTGGCAGATTTCCGTTTCAGTGATTTGGCGATAATGTCCACGATACCAGGAGCAGCATCAGCGTGCTCAAGGCACCAGACCATGACATCACCTATTTGAGCTCGTGAGGGTTCGAGATCATTGATCCAGACAGTGAGACGATCCCGTTGTGCTTGAGTGAGACCAGACGATGTACCGCGATCACCACTTGCTCCACGCCGAAGGGCTTCATTGTGAAGTTCAGCCCTATAAAATAAAATAGCAGGAGCGTAATAACATTACTATATTTTATCAAGAAATTATTTAGAAGCTAGTTATGTAAAGTTCGCAGGTACTCATATTCCAGGAAATAGAAAGGTGCCTAAGGGGAGAAATTAGTCCCTAATCTCCCTCAAGTAATCTCAGCCTTCATTCAAAAAAAATTATTTAAAGAGTGAAAAAAAAGTTATTTAAACAATTTTGCCTTTTTGATCGCTGCCAGTAAATTCAGAGACGATCCCACCTGTAATTTACGTCAAGTTGATCCTTTTACCAACGAAATAGTGGCAGTGGAAGTACGTATCAGTTTGAATATTGGTAAATTCACCGATTGAGCAAAAGAGTTTCAAGGTTTATTATTAAAAAATAAATAGGTATTAATTTATGGAATATGATTCTCCAAAGGAAAAAAAGGCATGAAAAGTGGAAAAATGTTTTTTTTGAAGGCCAAGTAATAGAATAAATTTACCACACAATTAAGTTAGTGTAAGCCACATGGCGTTACCTAGCAATTTATGACGCGATGTCCATATTAATTTTACCATTTTGTAGAGTTTCTGAGTTGCTTATCGAAGCAATCGGTTTTAAAAGGACCCATGGGATTGCATAAAAGTATTAAAAAAACGAGAGATCATACAACTAATGAAAATAACATCAATAACATCATAGGACCACAAATAAAAAAAATTAAATTGCAAACGAGCGATTAAAACAATGACATCTCGAGAACCTTTACTGGCAAAATTTGTGAATATTACTAATGAAAGTAATAGAAACACGTAAATGAATAAAGCACATTCAAGAAAGGTAGAAATTGCACTTACTCAGCGGCATCATCCTTTCCCGAGTAACCAGGAGCGACAGGATAATTAGCGGGCTCGACTAACTCCTCAGGCATTCCTGTGGCGAAGAAATTAGCAGGGGGCGGTCTCCACAATGGTCCTCCCTCGTACATTCGAAACTCCTCTGAGCTCCACTTGTTTACGGATTCACCCTAAAATTTAAATTCGACGTAAGGATCCTTCAAGACAATGTAACCTCACAAAATTAAGTACTTTTTTTGACGGAACTGAAATCTAATAATCAAAAATAAAATTCAAGTCTAAATTATTTGAATAAACATCTGTAACACCAGAAGCCGTCTTGTGGAAAGATATTTAACGCATCATTTCTATTCTTTGCAAGAATTACATTTAAGTACATTGTGCATCAACAGAGTTGGTATTTTAAAGGCAGATACGGCAAACAAACTAGTATGGTACTAAAAAATTAGTATGAGTAGGTAAATCCTTTCAAATCATCACAGGTGACAAAATGTACCTCCTGTGAACAATTCTCAAGGTTTATCGCCAAGTTCCCCAACAATGCTAAATAAAACTTGAAAACTGTTTATAAACGATAGCCCAACTAGGAACAATGTTAATCCTTTAGCTGGAATGAAAGTGTTAGTGCAAAGAAACTAGGTAAGAAAAAGAAAAATAAGGGTCTTAACTCAAAATAGATGGAGTTAACACACCAAATCAATTCACGGAAATAAGGAAACCTTCAAAGAAAATTCATAAACAAAACCCAAAAGACAGAAAATTCACGAACTAAACTAGTTGAAAGTTCCCACAATATTAATAGATACATATAAACTCTGAGCCTTATGGATATATTTAAATTGAACAGTTCTTTGGTAATCCACCAACCCATCTGTTCTAAATCCTTATTTAAAATAGGTAAGACAATATTTGGCACAATTAACTAAAAAATAAGAGCAGAAAAGTGGGTTAAATATAGCACAATTACTTCCTCTATAGCTACTAATATCGATAAAAATAAAATCCAAGTAACAGAAAAACGGCTAACTCACATGAAGAATCGACCAGAGTTTCCACCGATAGTAAAGATGTTCCGGAGTCTGATAATCAAAGAGAAACCTTTCGGAGAAAATACAACCCACGAGATTAGGCACACAGTCGAAATACGCAGGAAGTGATTAAAAAAGCAACTTACTTGTATTGGGGATTCCTCTCCTCTTTATTCATAATAGCAGCTTCAAATTGAGGTCCCTCGCGGACAACAAATTCAATTAGTCGATGAATTGTGGTTAGAATTGCTCTGTCGGTAGGAATTATGACTTTCACAACAGCCTCTTCTAAAACTTTATTGAAGGTTTCCTTTGGCATAGTGTGGATGTTAAACGGAAATTTATCTGAGGTTGATGATGACGTTGTGGAGTCACCATTTTCTGGAGGATCAGTGGCCATCGTTGCCTGCTCCTTGACAACTGGTAGGTTGGACTTGAGCCAATCTCTAGGTTGGGCATTGAAAGGAAGACCAGACTGAGAAGGGGGTGTGATTAATTCGAGAAGGGGAGGGGGGACATAAACGGGGAAGGCTGGAATAGGTACAGTTTTGCCCCAACCCAACTTCATTTCATAGCCCATAAACTCCTTCCCACGGAGATTCTCCAGCGCCCGTTCCGCATCTGACCGATTCATGTAAGCCACAAATCCACAATTTCTAGCAACGGCACGCTGTTCCTCCGTTCTTGGCCACATTATTTTAACACTAGCCAAGGGCCCGTAGCGACCAAAAACATCACAGAGCTGCTGTTCCGTCATTTTTGGACACAAATTACCGAGGAAAAGATTTGTAGATGATTTATCAGAATCTTCATCGTATGGGTAACCATCTAAAATAATGCGAGATTAGAAATAAAACGAGCCTACAATCTCGAAGTCGAGTTCTTTTATCAATATCTTCAAAATCAAGGGAAAGTTCAGAAGGGGGCATAGCAGGAGGCATTTTTGAATCAGATATACCCTTGGCCCGATTCTGCTGTCTAAGTTGATGGCGCTGTTCTCGTTGCTGTTGAATACTAGAAAACGATTTAAGAAAAAACTAGGGAAAATGCACCTTTTTAATTCCTCTTTGAATAATTCTAGATTGGTCATCTTTTTGGTTTGACCTTTCCTCCCGATAATCTAATAATAAAAAGTTTATACATATACTGACAAATGCCTACAGGTTTCTTTGCGCCCTCTGTTTTGTTCTCCACCTTTCCTACCTCCAAGGTTTTTGATTTATCGCCAAACTTCGAAACAGGCTTGTAGACTGAAGGACCAGCTCCAACCTTTTCCTCTAAAACAGTATTAAGAAATATTGAATACGCAATTGTTTACCACCACTACCGGGTTTAACTACTCCACCTTTAACCCATGTTCTATCGATTTTGTTAGACTTCTGGAAAGTATTCTCAAAGTCTTGAAGTGCTCTGGCAACTTCGGCTTCTTCAGCCTATTAAAAGTAAAGGCGATTAGTAAATTTTATGTAAATTATTAAATTAACGAGGTATAATTAGGTAAACCTTTCTTTTGATTTCTTCTTCAGCTTTTCTGAGCATTCTGCTTAATTTCAAAATCCCAAACCTTGTGAAAAGTCGCAACACAAGCGAAAGATAAAGGTTAAAATGTAGCGCTTGTTAGTAATATGTACTTAAATAAAAATGCTTGGCGGAAATAAACGGAAACACAACCTTGAAAGTTAAATGATAAATTTGACGAAAAATTTGCAATTATTGATATTTATAAGTTGTAAGCGCATTATTTACTTCAAAGTTAACTGATTGTAATTACTTCAGGTGTTGGCTGTACCAATCCAGAAGTAAATAAAAGTACGAATTTCCGTGTTAACTGATTTTATATGAGAGATCAATTGCATTACTCGAACAATATATTAAGAACAAATTATCTACATGTGAATAACCTAAAAACTTGCAGGGAATGTTTTTAATTAGTCACATTCAAATGAAAGGAAGACAACAAAGGAAGAAACAACAAAATAAGTTCACATTAAATATTTACTTATATTTCAATGCATCAGATTTCTTGATGGTTTCAATAATGATTCCTAATATTTGTTCTTTGCGTATTTAGATTTCAGAGTCGTTTTATTTAATAAATGAGTATCGTTTAGTTAGTGAAGACTCATATTGTTCGATCCATTTAACTATCAAAATGTGAAAATTTCGAACTGCTTTGCTCATCTCTGAAATCTGATGAAGCTGACGCCAGAAAACATAATCTACTATTGAAATGCGACGCCTTAACTAAGTTATTCTCCCAGTCAAAAAACACAAATGTGTTAAGAATTTATGGCGGGCTATTTCATTAGAGATTGATATATTTAATTTCAATAATTGATTTTAAGTCTGAATATATTAGCTTTACCAAATTTCGTAAAATAGTTGCAATTCAATTCACTTGAGTCAAATTTATCCCTAATTGTTCTATTTACCTACTTATACTAGCTCCTGTAGCACACTTATTATTATTTCAGTTTCTGTTCAAAGGAACATAAATGTTATGAAGATGAAAGTTACTTATACTTTTCAAAGTATTCATGTGACCAATTATTTCAAAATTGTTAGTTCATGATAATTCCTTCAGACTATCATTTCTTTTACTTGAATATAATTCGACAGCAAGACCCCCTCGTGACTACGAAAAATTCTATTAGAATGCTTGAAATAGTATTTCTATTTTAATTGGTAAAAATTGAGTTTTAAAGATTCTCAAGTGTTAGTATTGGAATTTGTACTGACAGATCACATTGTAATGAAACTGCAATCTTATTGGATCACATAATTTTTTTCTTTTTAAAGATGAATGTTTCTTCTTAATTTCTAGTTTATTACTTCATGGGTCAATCATAAAAAGTATGATGTTTTCAGCGGTTTGTCAAATATATTCATTAAACGCAGACGCTCCGAAAATATACATTCGATTCAATCTTGGTACAAAACTCGGTTTGTGAAATAAAATAAAATGAATTGAATTATTATTATTATTATTATTTGCCTAAATTACTCCCTCAGGTTAGGCAGTGTATTATGCTATCAGGCCCTCCAACCTTCAGTAAATCAACTTAGAATCAAGGAACAATATGTTCACGTGATTGATGGAGCCCATATGACCCGATCAATACCGTGATCTTGAGATTATCGATCTCATATGATGCATCCCACAGGTTAATAGTCACTTTTGACTGTACTTGGTTAAGGGCAACACAAAAGATGTGCGATTGCAATAAAGACTGTTCAAGATCCACTGGAAACAAAGTGCCTGTACCCACCTACAAACCTATGCATCGCGAATGCAAAGAACAAGCTCCTTGTGATCCAATGACAAGGCCCTGCAGCCCCTGTAGGCCTTGTTGCAAGGTGACCCCAGCCCCAACACCAAAGCCACCTTATGAGCAGAAAGATCCATTCGCACCTTGCGGATCATGCGATCGGGTTGAACGTTTCGATAGATGGTCAAAGACGAAGTAATCTCAAATTCGGTCGATAATAATTCGTGATAATTTTAATCTTTTGACTTGCCATTTTATTTTCAATTAATTTATTGGTTGATATTTTAGTAATAATAAAGAATTGATCTTGTTTTGATTATACATTCACGTTTTATCGTATTGGGGATATTAAATCAAATTACTATTACGAAAAATAACATTCATAACCATTAAATAGGAAGGAAATTATTCTCACCACGAAATTTCTGAAAGCACGCTTATTTAAAACTATTGATTAGATTTGGGACACTGTATTTGGTGGCAACGCTTGTGAAATTTCATACCAGTCAAAGACTTTATAAAGTTTGGCATATTCTGCTTGGTTTACTTTGGCCAATCGGAATGATCCTAGCCATGGACATAGGCAATTTCGTTTCTCTCAAGTGGTCAAATCAAATAATTTATACTAATTACATTTGTGCTAGTTAGTTTGATCATTCCTTTTCACTTGGATCTTCGTTTTGTCTATTTCTATAAATTTCACAAATATGTGAAAAAAGACATTATTTCCTATTAGTTTTCTCTTACCAATGATATTAATCAAAGTACCCATAATATTTAAACACCGAATCGATGGAGCCCAATGTCTTATTGTTAGTTTAATTTGGCGGAAAACAAGCTACGGATCGGTTTTAGAATCTATTCCGATCTGAAACTTTTTAGACTAGTTTAAATCTAGTCAAGGGAACCACTTTTGGAGCCACATCATATGAGAAGGCCCTGAATTCAGCAATATTACAGAACGAAGCAGCAAGTGAAGAAATGGAGGTGGAAAGATGGACAGAAAATTGAAACAGCAAGAAAATAAACGCCAAAGCTTCGATTAGTAAAGAGTTCAAATGAAGACAGATAATTTATTTGAACTTTAGTTTATCGTAAAGAAGCAGTTGAAGTCGTTGTATGACGTGCATTCAGTATAATTCTTCATTATACATTCTGAAATACCGATTTAATTTTTCGCTTTGAATTTCACGGTGTTTAATTAAAATTCCCTTCATTCATTGAAAAATTTCAATCATTTTGATAATCTTAGTTTAAAGGTTCTAGTCTGAAACGGGCGTGGCCATATTCCAGGTAGGAAGGTTACCAAGGTTTATTCAAATTGTAACTGAACGCAGAATTAACAATTAACAAATCTGGGAAGCGATAGGCGGTTTTTGTGACAACTAAAAGTGATGAGGACAAAACTAGATCTAAAGGTATGTTTGTGAGGGAGTTTGCCGTAGTTTTAAATAATAAAATCATTTTATTGGTACATATGTGCTGCATCTGAATATTAACCAGCACCAATTCTATTTAAAGAGAAGAAAATATTAAAACTAAGCAAATGGATTTCCCATATGAGTAAGTGAAAATAGATCCTTCCTTCAGTTCCTAAAAGTTATAGACTACTGTGGGAAGAACAACGCTCGCATGACTGAAGCAAAGACTCCCTTGAGCGCCGGAACATTCTAGAATATGTGGTGGCTTTGCTGATTGAGATAGGGAGCAAAGAAGGTTACAAATGCAATGATCTCCCCCCTTCCCCACCCATTCAGAAATCAATAACCGTGGCATGGTCAATGCAGCCGAAATGGTATATGACTAAGCTCCCTGCCAGTTAAACATAGCCCAAATAAACGCGTTCCACGTCACAGTCCAGTCCCCTATATATCGTTGAGATAGGCTAGCTAACCCTGAGAGCCGTTCTAAACTAGGATAACTTGTTGAAGCGATTACTGAGAATAAGTAAGGCTTATCAGTGTAAAAATCCGTTATACAACCAGACTTCAAACCATTAAAAACTTCGTTAAAATAACACTCTTCTCAACTCCCACCAACCATATTTAAGATATTAGTGACATTGTATGTAAATATTAACCTCTAGATGTTTTATATAGGGGCAAAACGCCAATTCTTTTGTTTCCCTTTGACCTTCGACTATGTCAACCAATGAGGGTAATTGAGGCCGTATTAAAAGGAAACTAGTTGAATAATAAAGAAAAGCAATCAATTTAATGTATGAAATTTGAGTAATAAATAAGGATTCAAAATTGCTTTCTTTTAAACCTATTATTTATTCATAACTAATTGAGTTTCAGAAGAATATGTGACTATTTCATAAGACTAAGGCTAAAACAGTTGTCAAATTTTGCTACTTGGAGTCAAGATAGGATTTTCTGATGTTATTAGTTGTTCTAATCCGTGAATTAAAACATTTCTTCTTTAATTTAAATTAAACAAACCAACTAAGTCCAAATGTAGATTCATGGTCGGTAGTAGGAGCTTTAAATCATAGTTAAGTTCTCCATTCCAGCCAAATCCGGCAATTAAATAATTAAAGTAAGACTAAATTAAGCTGATAGTAAATTAGTTTATTTTCAAAGCAAGGAAACATGCACAATTGCGTTTTGGTATTATTTGCAGTATTATTTATGTGAAAATTTATATTCGCTTGCTTAGAAATAAATTTCGTAAATTAATTAAGGTAAAATTCACTTCGCTTTATAATCACTAACAAATATTTACTGATTATGAAAGGACCTTTATAACGTTTCCATCCAATATATGGTCCCCGAATTTCTACGTATCCAAGTCTACTTGGAGGATTTTTGGAGTCGCTCCATCGCATATGCTTCTTTTCGGTTGCAGTGAAGACCATTCACATCTCTAGCAATATCTAAATATGTGGCGATAGTGATTTTCCCACCCCCTCCCCCATTTAGTAGTTTATCGGCTGATTTATCCTTCAGGCTAGCCACCTCTTTCGTCCTGTGATCTTATTGGTTCGATTTCATGACCTAGTTACCGATTAGTTAAGATTTACTCCCCCATTGAAAAGCGAATGCGTAGTCAAAAAAGATGTGGTTTAATGCGATAATGGAGCTTAGTGAATAGGCAGGTGAGCGATAAAAGGAAGGGGGAAATTTCTTTCTATGTACAAGTTAATAAATAGCAAATGTTGTCTTGATAGGAATGTGTTGAGATGATTTGCTTTACCTAAAAGGAAAGAAAATAAAGGTTGAATTACAACAAGGAAAAGTACCTCAAAATAAACAAACAACCTATTTGGCTTAAAGTGGCATAAAATTTTACTGCAATTATTGACTCGATAAATACAGAATTTACTAGTAATCTCCGCTTTTGCGTATTTAGGCAATGACTTCTATCATGCTAGTGATAATTTTCCACCGCTTCCATGGTTCATTCATTATCCGAAACCGAATATCCCCACTTGGGAACACTCCGCTGTCCAACATATATGTGATGGGTTAATGCGTTCATGTATATTTGATGACTCATTCGGAAATTGGTGAGTGAATCATTCACCGTTTCCGACTATATGATATGTACCAAGAAGGAACCAAATGAAATATGGTGCTTAATTATCATATAGAAATACTAAGTGGTAGTGAAGTCTATTAGGTAGCTTTGCTATTGGGTCCGCATTGTAATACCAAAGCATTGTGGATTAATTATTGGCTCAATACCATTAATTAAATTCAATAAAGAATTTCACTGCTAAACCTTACAATAATCGATTACTTAAGCACGAACGATTCGTTCGGCTTGGTTTTGCTCGGATTATTGTCTTGATCGATTGGTATCCTTCAGAATCGTTTTCTCAACCACATTAAGAACTCAGTTTCTAGACCAAGGGTGTTATATTCGAAAGTTTAAAAATTCGAATACCACTACCAAATGATGTCTAATCTCAATGGCACTCCAAGGTAAGGACTTAATTACGGACAAAGAAGTCATAAATCACTTCCAATGTCAATTTTAATTTATTGGTATATGAAAAAAATTAGCAGCATTGAGTTATTGAGAGGGACTATATTCATTTTAATCCTTAAGAAATTATGAAATGATGATAACAACGAAACAAATATGCTCTTTTTTAAGGTTGAAAATGTACCACCTTCTTTGAGCTATTGAGTCCATCTCAACCATATAGCCAGAATAATTATTTGTAAATAAGTTTGGTTTCTGCAATAAGTCCAAAGTATCGATAGTGAAAGGATTAACTAAATTTGTTCAATAAAATGACTAACCACGATTAAAGTTGTTTTTAAATTAAGTTATTTAAATGATTATATTAAGACTTTATTATTATTATCTTATTAGGGTTATAATTGGCTATATTTGCGCAATAAGTGAAACTTAAGCTGATAAACCAATCACTAATTTACTCTAGTTTAAGCAAAACAAATGGTGCGGCAATGGCGCCTGACGAAAAAAGGGAAACTTACATATGGGGTGGAAGGAAGGTAATTCAGATCTAAGTTCTCTGTGAAGTTAGTCTGAGATTGTGGGCCATTACACTACAAAATAACTCCGATTGTTCTTGTTCATAGTTGGCGCGTTGAATTAGATGCCTTGTGTGCTCTTCACAACGCCTTCGAAGTAGACTTAAATCCAATTTATCGGGAACTCTGCATTTCATCTTTGGAGCTTCACGATTTGATCGAGAAAGTCCGTATTCAATGTGATCTAACTCTGATTTGGATCCAGCTACTACTGCTCGTCGGATTTCAATGAGCTCATGGAGATGATTCAGTGAGCTTCGCTTGAAGGGTGTCGAATGTCCAGAAAAGTCCAGGCCAAGATTAGATCCCTTATTAATTATCCGAGATTGCAAAGATTTTAAGCTACCAGCTATGGTTTCTATTGAATGCATACTTATTGGACGGGATTTATAAATTGGTAAATGGAAATCCTGGGGTTGAACTCTTACTGAATCTGTAGAGGTATAGGCGCTTCTTCGTTTCGGAAAACGAGAACTGAGAATTGGAACCAGCTCATGGAAATGTAAATACCTACGTGGAAGTTCAATTTTGGCGTCTTTATCTTCAACTGCTGAAGTACAGGCGAGAGCAAGATAAAGACGCTGGCATGCTGCAGACACCATTTCTTGATTTGAAACTAGCCAATCAGTGTCACGAGAGATTTGTTTAAGACCGCTGATAAGTTTGAGAGCATCTGAGCCAATTAAGGTCGTGAACTCATCCAGATAGCCATTTGAAAGCTTGTCCTTCAAGAATCCAACACTTTCATCAAAATCTTCAGCTGAAGCTTCAATAGAATCTCGCAGTTGTTGAAGTTTTGAGTCATCGGCATTTCCAGAATATGAATTTATTAATTTCAAAACTTCATTTTTCGGTGTTCCAACAAACATTCTAGCCGAAGCCAACATAAAAATCTTATTTGGGTCCATAGATCTCATTTGTGAAAAATCATTCGAATCACCTATAGTCTGTGTCCATTGGCGAAGTTTATTTTCAAGAAATTGTCTCTGTTGCAAAGTTAAATGAGTAGGCCAAACTTCCATTGAATTAATAGCCGAACCCAAATCGGCAAATATAATGCTGTCTTCTGGAGGTATTGAATAAAGCAGACAGATCTGTTCCACGGAGTTTAGCGTGAAACCTTCAAGGGATTTTTCAGCTGCTTGAATGGCGAGGATCATCATTTCAGGATTGCATTTTTCGGAATCTGATAGAAGATTATCGTTAACAAATGATCTAAACTCTTTTTTCGTGAGATTCCGTCTGATTCTTGTAATTCGAAGAGCAAGTAGTCTTTGTGAGGCAACAGCTACATTGGTCTTGGTTGGTAACCTAGCACTGAAATAGCCATACAGCATTTTCAGCGTCAGTTCTTCTCTTTCATTCGGTAGAAATTCTCGGAAGCGCTTGCGAAGGCGATGTAGGCATTCCAAAGAAACCTCCTTAAGAACTCTAATTTGTGACTCAGTTAAGTCCTGCGTATTTGAAGATAATATGCAGCCGAATGATGGAATGATTTTGATAAGTGTTAGAGTCGAGTATCTATCCGATTTTCCGCTTTGTAGGAGTAAGCGGGAATGATGATAGACGTCTAGCAAGTTTTCGATTATCATATCATCAGCACTTTCGTCAATTCGACCAATCAGAGTCTTGATATCCAACTGAACGGGATCCAATAATGTTCGATCATCTTCAGGCGATGTTTCCTTGGAAATCTTCGGCAGTAGAGGTGAAGTTTCAATAGTTTGCAGGGCATCAGCTCTATTATTATTTTTTACAGAGTAGTTAGAGTATGTCTCACTGGGAGAAGATACAATGATTTCAGAGAGTAACTGTTCTCCATAATCCTTACAGGTAACATTCGAAGAGAGGACAAAAAGCGATTTAAGGAATATTTCAACCTCCTTAGCAGATTTCAAGCCTCCAATATTTGAAAAGACATTCAGATTATTCACAGCTGCCTCAATTGCCATATATGGAGTCATATCATTTGGAAGATCAATCACACAACCACTAGTTCGTCCAATGGGATTTCTGAATCTTCTGTCATCATCCTTGAACAGATAGTTTATTATTCGACAAGTTATGGCAAGATCTGTTGTTGAGAGTTTGGAGTACTGAAGTTCACTGATAATTCTGAATGCTGAGAGAGCATCAGTGGAGCTGATTAAAAAGTATCCACACAAGCTGGTTTCCAGACCTTCTCTTACTATTACAGGATCTGGAGACATAAAAGGAACTCCTGCTTCACTTCCAAGAGGAAGAATTACTGGTGCTATATGAGATCGAAGGTTTTCAACAGTGCTTCTCTCTGCACCACTTAGGGCTGAGTCAGCCAGGGTTTGTATATTAGGATCAGCAAAGTTTACACTCTTCAACTGAATCTGTTCATCGTCGACTGAATAGTACTTTTCTATTCGGTTCAAGAGGTAAAGTAGACATGTGATCGCCTCAAGACACCCGTGAAAGTGTCCAGAGTGAATACAGATCACAGCTGCGTGATAGAGGGTCACAAGTTGTTCCTTTGTGAGCAGTACGCGTGAATCTGTAAATTTACTGAGCACCGTTACTACAAGGAGAGATTGAAGTAGACTGAAATAAGACTCCATTTGAGAGAAATCTTCTTGAAATTCGATTGGAAGTTGACCGTTTCTAGTTTGATCAAGAGAAAATTGTGGTGCTTTGTAGAACAAATTTGCAAAGAATTCGGAACTTCGGTGATCTGCTTCTAGCCATTCAGACGTCTTTACAGAAGTCCATTTGTGAAAATCACCAAAGACACCATGTGGAGTTAAATGTTCTTGATTAAAGAATACCGTCCAGAATATTTCAGATAATTTGTAATACAGCTTTGAGCTAACTAATCCGCCAATTTCATTGGACAACTCATTTGCAACACAAATTGTTATTAAAAATTTGTCAAATTCCACACTTGACTGGACATCAGCTGAATCCAAGGAAATTGGAAGTAAGGCGGACAATAGTCTAACATGTTTTGAGCTCTTGATTTCTTTATTAGATTGCAAACACTCTGAAATCTGAACCAAAATCGCTTGGACCGTTGAACTTGTTTCGGCCGACAATGAACTGATAGGTCTGCATAGAAGGATTGCCAGTAATTTTGCTTCAAGGTCTACGTGTAGCATGGCCACAGCAATGCAGATAAACTGTAGAGTGCCCCACAAACTTAGATCGACAACTGATCCAATCACCGATAATTGAGCAAAGCATTCTGAAATTGTTTTGATCAAAATATTGGTTAATTTTCCATCCAGACTTATTGATAGTTGTTCTATTACTTTAAGATTTATATCGACTGCTGAACCATCAAATAATCCTTGTCGGAGTTGCATAATTTGATTTGAAATTTCCTGGTAGAGGGACGACTCATTTGGGATATAATTTCGAGCAACACTTAGAATGAATAGCAATTCAGTTTGGACTGTATGTTGTGCGTTCTGCGAAATGAGTTTGGCTCGAAAACCACGCAATGAAGCAATGGCATAGAGAAGACAGTTATCCGACTTGAGGAATACGTCAACTTTAGTCTCAAGGTAGACAACTCTACTCTTAAGACCGTCTAGGTCGACCAAATATGGAGGCTTTTGTGAGAGTATATCTTGAAGAATCATTACAGCTTCTTCATATTGCTGTGGTGAGACCAGCTTATTTTGATCAAGTAAGAGATCTGTCAAATATTTTTGAGCATCTTCCATCAAATTTGTTTCATCATCAGCTTCCTCTACTTCTTGATCATTAGAAAGTCCTTGGATTTCTGCGAAGACTCCACGGTTTACAAATATCCTTGGTTGATCGAACCTTTTGACTAGAGTTTCAAGCAATAGAGCATAAAGAAGATTCGACCTTGGAGAAGTTTGACCGATGCCAGCTGTTTGCGATGCTATCTTTGTCAGCTCTGAAGGTTCAAAGCTGGCAAGGCTTTCATCCGAGCCAGAGAAAATCAACTTGTCAGTCAACGAAGTTTCATTCAATTCTTGAGTTTCTGGCTGCATGAGAAGGAATTGCTTGACATCGTCAACTGAATTGTTTGCAAGGAAAGTAGACAGTGGTTCATTCGGTTGAGATTCCAGCTCCGATATCCACATTCCAACAGTATAAGGATCACAATTAAGTTGACGATTGTTCATTGAGCTAACAACCAATTTTGACTTCAAAGCTTCTATTACTTTCTGACGCTTGGTTTTCGGGTTAAGGAGATTATTTACAGCGTCTACCGAGAAATATGTAGTCCGCTCTGTTGCTTCAATAAGATTTTGAATGTCCACAAGTGCATTTTCTCGGATATTATCTGGTAAGTGGTCGGACTCTTCAATGAAAATATTGAAAGCAACATGAGAAAATGGAGACTTCAGAGCCTTTTCGGGATAAAAGTTGAAGAACTGGGTCAGGATGTGCTTCCATAGTAACCTTTTACAGATTTGATTGGATACTGAACTGTCTTCTGTCTTGATAATAGCGCATATTTTGTAGAGGCATAAAAGTCGAGCTACATTATCTCCTGGTATATCCCCAGGGGAAGAATGATTTTTGAGGATTTCTATCCCATCGTTTGCTTCTTGTGCAAGTGCTAAGAGATTGCTAAACTCGGATTCGGATAAATTAACTGTATTGCCTGATCTTATCATACATCGGTTTTTAATGGATTCCAAGAAGAATAGAGACAAGGAATCTGTTCTATCGAAGAGTGCTGAAGAACATATTTCTGTCTCATAGAAAGTGTTTTCAGCATTCAGATTGACTTCCCCCATTGTTGGAACAAACTTCTGTTCCTCAATTACATGACCGAGTTTAAGTGAACCGCTCTGAAAGACTGGTTCGTTAATGCGATGATAGAAATTTTTCAGACGGCCAACAGTCTTCGCTTTTAATTTGAATTTCAAATGCCTATTAGCCTCAAGCGAGAGTTTTCTGATCAGCTTAGCATCTTCTGAATGAGGCTCTACAGAACTGAGTTTACGTACACAGTCACAGAGTTGGATGATTTGGAAAGGTGCCAACTTGGAAGCGAAGAGTTGACTTGGACTTCTCTGCATATCTGATATTGCCTTTCTTAGCATCAGTGTTTCAGGAATTAATTTGAAATAGAACTGAGCATCGTTCGGTGGTAGGGTTCTCCTGGTACTGACAATATCAGAAAGGGATGACTTGAAATCATCTTGATAGACCGCAGTAGTTAAGGTTGAACTAATTTCTGTCGGTTTAATGAGAGTGTCATTCTCATACGTGTTTTTATCCGTGGTGTCGAAAAAAGCACTTATTATGGAGTCGGGTGCATTAGAAAGTTCTGGGGTTTTGGATCGAGCGAATGGATTTCGAACCACTGAGGAATTCACCGGATGGATGATTTTTTCATTGTCATCAGTGATTGAAATTGATTTAATCGAATGATCAGTGGATGGCCAAGGACTGATTCGATGAGTCTGAAAATCGATACCGCACGTTAGAAGATGTTCAAGAAACTCAGCATCTGTCTTCACTAATTCAACGTCAAATTCGGAGTTGAATAAATTAACAAATCCAGCCATCTCAGAGTGCTTCGCAATACCAGCAGCATTAATCAATAACAGAGCATCTCTGATTACCTCCTGATCATTTTTTCCAATGACACAGATTCGCTGAAAATTCATTGTTGAAAGACGGAATCTATTCTTGACGATGTGATAAGCTTTCGCCACCTTGAACTTTGCACACAGCAGGGCAATTTCACCAAGACGACTCGCAAGACTAGACAATTTTGTTACTTGATCTTTAGACATGCGATAGTTTGGAGTGGATTTTGAATCTCTTTGGAGATCTGAAACAAGATCAAACAGTTGCTCTCTCTCTTGATGAGGAATAACTCTGCTGTAGAATTTGGCTGTTGAACAAGACTGATTCATTCCAGCTGTAGTAAGGTTTTGAGTTTCTTCGAGGATGTTCTTCTGGGTATCGGATACAATTTCTCCGGATTCTGCAAGCTTTTGCAATTCCACGCTCATATTCGCTATTTCCATTGCTACTAGCATAATTGGAGATTCACGGTGATTAAAAATGATAGGAGGAGTAAATACAGGGCTAAATATAGATGCATTGGTCATCGTTATCACTTCAAGAAGGAAATCCGCATCAACATCTGTGAGTTCAATACCCCCTGGAGATGTCTCTAGGCGTTGAATGAATTTTATTATGCCACTTTTTGTCTCTTCATCCTCTTGAACAACAGGATGCTGTAGAAGGGATTGGAGGTGAAGCTGTAGGAGGCGATTATATGGAGGCTTGACCTTCCGTGATGATAGACACCTGTGAAGGGTGACTTGTGGATCGAGATCTTTTTCACCTCTCTGCCCTGAAAGGAATGTAAATAGCTCATTTTCAAGCTGATGTAGTTCTTGAGTATTTGTTGGGTGAAACTTTCTTGATGAGGAACTAATTTGAAGAATTTCTTTAAGTGTCGGAAGTTGTCGGGATTGTTCTTGTTCGGGTATTTGACACATTTCCCTTTCGAGAGTTTTTTGGATGTCTGGTGAGAGCCGAAGCTGCAGGGACATATCTTCATTCTGAGGATTTGCAAGAAGATCAGTGACTTGGACTAGAAGTTGAGACATAGCTGTGTGATCGTCTCCATCATTTTCAACTTCAACAAAGATTGAGGAGCTGCGAGCCATCTTTTCACTTGAACTGGTGCCTCTAATTCGGCCATTTTTATATACAGATCCATAAGGTCGAGCTAAACTGAGAGAGTCGCTACTGGAATAGCCTTCATTACGACCAATCAGACTGCCTCTTTTAGATCGTAGCCAAGGCTTTTTCTTTGAACGGCGTCTTTGCTCATTAGTCTTCGATGGTACATCTAAAATTCGGATAACAAAAAGGTTTAGGGACTTTGAACTCGGGTATACGAATACTGATCAATTTAAAGTAGAAACGCAATACGACAAGGTTTACGTTAACATGTCAACGTTTCCACTTTATTACCAGCCTTACATGCGACTAAAATGACCCCAGTTTTTTAATAAGGTTAAATTTTCGTCGATGGAATAGTTCGCTTTAAAAATGACTTTTCCCAGACCATCTATGTCTACACTAGTTAATGCTACTGCAATGAATAGTTCTCCGTTTCTCATAAAATTGTTAGTTTGGCGGATAATTTCTCTCTCTCTCTCTCAAGTGAAGAGAAATTAAGCAGCAATAAGGAAGGAAGTGGAAATCATTTGGAAGATTGACGTTTGCCATTCATCTTTTCCTCATGTTATGAAAAATTACTTACCTTATACAAATTCTATGGGAAGCCAAAAGTCGGAATGTAAGTTATATTTTAGTTTTATAAATGAAATAATAATTATGAATAAATAAATGCTGTCATTTTTTCAGGAAATTAGTAATTAAGATACTAGAATAGATTAACGGGTCACATCAATGCATGTTCACTGTAATCATCCGGCTAGTATCTTGACTGTTAGAGGAGAAATGAATTTGTGGCTGAACTCACACGAACAAGAACGATTTGAAAAAATGCCGTATTCTACAGATCGAGCATAGAACAGGCGCGTTCGTGAGTACAGAGGCCTCTAGTCTAGTTAATGACCAAGTTCGTGCAACAGACGTAATTATGCTTACAAGTACAAAGCGCTTTCACAGCAAACCTCTTGATATGCCCCAAAGTATTTCCACTAATTTTGATATAGACAGGCTTATTTTGGGGGATAATTCATAGCTGCAAACTCTGCTTGAAGCTAATTGCACTTTTAAGGGATTAACAAGGTTTGATCAAGTGCAAACTTGCCCTGTATCCTCTACATACCTGATTTGGTCGATCAACAGTCGAAATTTTCGAACGAATAATTGCATTCTGAATGCCACGAAATTGAATTCAAGCAATAAATGTAGTACAAGTACTGATATTTTGATATTGGAATATCGGAGCAAGAACTAAAGCGCATGAAGCATGAATTGAGTTTCATTAATTAAATTCTTCTTCCATAAGCACTCACTGTACTGCTTCATGGCCCTCTGGGTTCAACACTTCCCCAAGGTGAATAGATGGTAAATATTCCTCACATTATAATGGGTCATGATAATACCAATTGCACAAAGAAGTTTCAAAACTTGTTAACAAAAAATTTGTAATTTCTTAAAAGGGGAATGACATATGATGCATTAAACACGTGTGTATGTGTGTGTGATTTTCCCGTTATTTTCATCATCTAAACATAGCGAAATGAATTTCTTTTTCTGAGATAGAGTTTAAAGGGTGGAGGGGGGGGGGTGGGGTAGTTATTTTGGCATTTCACCTCTCATAAACTTCGATTTCAATTCAAAATGCCACTGGAATCCTATCGCCCAGTTAAGGAGTTGCCAACACTGCAAGTAGAGAGAGAGAGGAGATAGAGGTGGTATCTATGCTTTTGCAGCGCGAAAGTGTCTATATGAAAAATTCGGTGACACCACTATATATGAATGAATGACGGCTATGATTTCTAGGCACCCTAACTGTCTAGATATATATATATATATATATACACGAATGAGCGCATGTACGTGATATCGCAATCATGTGTGATTTGAACACCCACCAGCGTGGTTTTTATACCATCAAGGTAATTAAGAATGCTGGTACATTGGTGTGCAGAGCAAAGATTTTAACCGACATTACGATTTTAACACTTTGCAAAGTACTTGAAGAGCCATGAATAACTTTTTTTAATTTCCAAATAAAATGTTTTCTTGATATAAAGGGAGAAGATTGTGTTAATTAAGATTATAGAAAAAATCCTATGTGAACGTGGTGGAACGAATGGCGTATATACTGTAGTGAGGCTGCCTTATCTTAACAAGTCTAAACATTTGAAAAAGAAAGAGGAACTAAACTAATTTATTCTTGGATGAGAGGTATATGAAGATGGTTGTGTTATTTAAGCTGTGTATATGCTGAACTTGTATATTCTGGCACCCATATTGGGCATGTGGAGGCATCAATGAAAGAATATTTAGTCCTTCTGAGGAGAGCGCAATTAAGTCAGAGAGTGGAATTCATGTCGTTGACTTTGTATTTAGCTATATTTGTCTATCTACACTTTCAATTTCTTAACAACGCCTCTCCACTGCTGAACTGTGTTGGCAATCTCTCAAAAGGAGAAGCAAAATATTGAAGAAACAAAGCCACGGTCTTTCGATTTCGTCAGTTTTTTATTTAATCAGAATTCTTGCAAAATATGTGAAAATATAAGTAGATTTTTTAGATTATCTAAGTGACAAGGAGAGAGACTCATACACATGTACACTAGGACAACTAAACACGAATTAAAAAGAAAGAATGTCCTTAGGAGAGAAAAAAACTGAAAACACGGCATTTTAACTAAGTCTTTGTATTTTGTGAATCACCTTACCCCAAGTCATTACATGACCTTTTTGAAGATGCATTATAAGAAAGATCAGATCAACGTAGACAACAGAACTGAGAACATCTTACCACGTAGCCCGATTCATGAATGAATTAAGGAGTGAGTGGTGTGCCAGATGCCTCAATATTGATCTCATAAATTGTAGAGACAGTAAATGTAACTGTCGCATTTTTGACTAAGATCTACTTATAGTTTGGTTCCCGTAATACCAATCCGCACTCTTTAATGCAAAGAATTGAACTAAAACGATTATCGTCCCATTGAAAACACACAAATTAATAAGAAAAAGTCACCACATATTCATAGAAAACGTAAGTGTGCAAAAAACAATGAGATCTAGAGAGGGATGTTCACTCAGCAAATAATATTTTAAGTTGAGAACTCATAAGTAGAAAATATATTAGATTAAATGTAAAGAAACTAACAGCGTACGTATTTTGGGGGAAGAGAGTAAATTTTTGAAATATTGCTATTATGCTGTCATAATATCATAACACCGAATTTCACATAGACTGAATTCTGGCGAATTCGCCAATGATGAAGCAATGTCAGTTAGCATCAGCTCACTTACATCTTATGTATTAGAAGTGAAGAAATGCTGAAGCCGAAGGAATACCCATCTGAATAAGTTGATTATTCAATACGCCATGGAATGAATGGTCTTTAGCGCATTGGGCAAATTAGGGGAGAAATTCTGAACTTACTCCCGATTAGACGCTTCCAGCCAGTTTTCTCCCATTCATGCATTTTCGGTGGCTTTCCTACGATTGATGACATATTTATTCTAATGCAAAACGTTGTTGTTTCATTGGTACGTCACATTGCACATGGTGTTCTTCGAATGCACAGCTTTTTATTAACGCAGATTTTCACTTATCGTCATTTGCACCAGAATACACATGAATTCATATGGTTTCACTTACCAAAAACACACACACATACACAGAGAACACGTGGGTCAATAAAATAAAAGTAAGCAATTAAAATAGACAGTCACAATTTTTTAATTAACTGGGGGGGGATTTCCCAAACAATCGTCATTCCGTTACCAGAATGTCAGCCTGAACAGTAAACTGGTTAGCAATCTGAAAACAGTGCCGAAAGTGAACTTCACGATTAACCATAGTGATATAGATTAAAGTGACTTCTACACTACGAGGGTAAGAATATGCAAAATTGAAAAATAGGTATTACTAGCAATTACATTCAATCGATTTGTAAACGAATTCTGAATGTCGAGTGAGATGAACTTACCCACAAACCAGGGGAACATTTTATTTCAATAAATTAGCTATCAAAACATTTGATAACATAATTTTGTTACATGTTTTTAATTTGGCTTTCAGCATCATGTCTAACTAAAGCATTTACCACTTCTTGTGTTCAGACGGTAAAATAGTATCTATCTCAAGATAATTGAACGATTCATCAATGATACCTAATGCTAAATTTAATCAAACTGACATGATCACAATCACTCAAGCTGACACAAACGTCGTTGTCAAAGTAGACATTAAGGAGTCAAGAAGAAAGCCAACGAATTAGAGGCCGTAACAACATTTAGCATTCTCTTCTATACGAAGTCCTGTATTTACATCTTGACAAATGTTGTAGAGGTTTTAACACCTTCAGTGATTCATCTGCTAGTGGTGCGGTTCATTGTGTAATGCAAATTTATGCACCCTCGAACCAAAGTCCCATACTCGCGAATAAGATGGTCGTGCAGAAGAAAAGCTTACGCTAACACCATCACCAAATTCCCATGCCAAATTTATTGTCAATTAAGACCCGGGGAATAGCAGTGTTTGTGCGTCTATCTCCTTTCTCTCTACCTCTCACTCTTGCATTGATGGATCCGTAAGTTCATAGCCCTCCGCACAACATGTGGCATTTTTATGAAAGAAAAAAGTTTCCGTTAGTGATGAAATCTTAATGTGAGAAATGTCTGTCTTTGGGCACAGATGCGAAACAGGCAAGCGAGATACAAGCTCCTGCTTTAACATGCATGGTTTGGAAAACGCGAGGATTCAATTTCGCCAACTGGTGCTAATCAGAAATTTCAATAGAAGCGTGTTCGAATCCCGTGAGTGCAAGAGTAAGTTCTAGTTAACTAAGCGAACTTAGAAAAGATAATAGAAACAGGAAAAATTTATTACATTTTCATTTATTTTGACAATACTTCGCCTTGTCGAACTTGAAAGGAATATGTCAACCTCCAAAATTGCCTAATAGATCAAAGAGAGCTCTCAAATGAACTACTGGCTAAATTATTTCACTACCTATATGCGCCATTTTAGAAATTCGTAAGTAACAAAACTGGCGTTGAATATGCCATGATCAACAGTGGGCGTTTTGTTAGTGAGAATAGAGTCAGGAAGTTCTCAGCCCATTGTTTAAGAGCTTTTAACTACGGACTAACTTCTAGGTATCTGGCGATAGAAAGATAGTTGACTTAAGAAAACAAGGAGACGAGGCACCAGAAATGGCAGCGAAATAAACACCGAGAACCGTCGGCATTCCAGAATCTCATGAAACTCGCCTTGTTTATTTATTTTTTTTTGTATTTTACCAACTAATTTTCAACCTGTTGCTTGATTAATTTAGGTTTTCCGGAGAATGGTAATTAATGTCTACTTCAACAAATCAACCTCCCTTGTAGATCCACAGTTATGGGAAAAAGTTTTATTGTATTGTTTTATTAAATATAGTCTGGGTTAAAACACGAATGAAAATTTCCCTTGCTTGATTTTAAGTCACAAGCATTTGAATTTATTAGCGTAAATTACTTTGTTGATTTATTTAGTATTTTGAATTGCTTTAAATACTTAATCACTGAGATGGAAGTAGTTTTCGTTTTGATTACAAGACCTTCTTGATTTATAAGAATGCATTTAGATGGCTTTTAAATCAGCACCGAAATTTCTAAGTATACATAAACATAACTATCAGGAAATTAGATTAATCAATAAACTTGCTTGCACAACAAGCACCCGTAGAGCAGCATCCACCCATTTGTTGAAAATGATTGAATGGTAAGAGATAGTATTGTGAGTGGATGAGATGGGGAGAAAAATTAGAATCCAGAAGTTAAACTTTGCGCACAGAAGCGAAAATACGATCGCCAGCTAATGTCGGTACATTAACGTGACCAGATCAAGCCAGCAATAGTCTACGTTGTAGCCTTTCACGCCTCTGACCAATGAAGTTTCTACTAGGTGTAACCTAGTACCCTAATTGGTTGATGCAGAGCAGGATCATTGGTTAATGTGGGAATGTCGACTAGAGCACGCGTGCAGACGTGGCTATACACCCTTTTTTGCTGTATTCGTGCTAAATAAACGCTCTTGTAAGGCTCACATCACACCCTTCCTGTATGTAATAACGCAATGCCATGGAAACGAGCACGATATATTTAAGTTTGGTGTTAAAAAATATAATAAACGTAACGCTGTGTAGCGAAAATGCTAGTTGATGAGGGCGCAAATGATTGCGTGATTTAGTAGCTTGTTTACAAGTTGAGTCAGGGAAAAATACACTAAGTGGTTTTATAATTAACTTTATGAAGTTTTTAGGTCCTCAAAATTTTAAGTGGCAAATTAATTTCATTAAGCAAAGATCGGGAATGGAGAATTGTATCCTCCATATTTATTGTATTTAAAAAGTCCTCTCAAAAGAAGTTCACTGAGAGCTATTTATATCTTCTCAACTTTTCTAAAGTGAATCTTGACGTCTTGACAGATAAGTCACTCAAGGAGTCAAAACAGAAATTTGGAATAGCGTTCAGTACTTCCAGAACGAAGCAAAAATTACGAATAAAGTATTATATTATTAGTACCTTAAAGCACTCATAAGACTTTTGCACTTTAAAGGAGTGGGACAAAAAAGTTGGAATAAAACACGCGAAAAATTTGATAATGTTAATTTAATATTTAGTGTTTTATTTATTGAAACAAGAACATTTTTTTAATCAAATATAAAATGTTGCTAAAGTTAAGTCAAGACGATTAGGATTAAGGAACAAATTTAGTAAAGATCTTCAAATTTTAAAATGACCTGAAACAATCTTATGAATGCTATTTAATGTTCCATTGGATTAAAATTTACCTACTGGTTAAAACGATATGCTCTAGAACATATCCTTCCATAATTGATTAGGTATGTTTAAAGCCAGTTTCCAGAATATTCGTCATAAATTCAAATGATTAAGACATCAACTTTTTTTAAATAGTGTAGTAACTAATCCGCTACCACTCACAAAAAATTAAGTTATTCGGATTCTGGAAGGAAGCTAATTGATTTAAATAAAATTTTTTTATTGACTAATGGTTGGCTGTCAAGTTAGTCAATTACAACAATGCGTTCTTCGTTAATGGTCTTGGGCATTCAAACCAAAAGTGGAAAACCAACGATCGATAATCCTGTGAATGAGAGATGAATGTATACAATTTTTAGAGTTTGCCGAAAATACTCGACTAAACTTCCTGACAACATTGAGGACAGATGTGCATTGGTTGCAGATATCAAAACTTTAGTTAAAAGTTGAAATTCGATAAATGTTCAATTATTATATAGCTTGTGTTGGTATTTTTAAATTTGTTGTAATAGAAACAACTCGGAAATTGTCACATGATCGATTTTGTTGTGACGCTCAAGGGTAATTGTCAAAATTGACTGCGATAGAATTGGAATTGAAATGTGCTTTAGTTAGGTCACATTTTTTTGGTTAAATTTTGGCAATTAAATCGACACGTTAAGTGTCAATTCAAACAAGTACAGTATTACTGAGAATAAAATATGACTCTCCGTTCCCACGAACTCATTCCTTTCTCGTCGCCTCTTAAAAATATAGCGATTTATGAACAAATTGAACTGATAGAATAAAGAAACGACCATATTTTACGTTTTAAAAATTAGTATTATTTCAACCAATTGCCCTAAAGTCTTGGAGGTGTACACAAAAAATATATATGGATATATGAACAGATTTAACAGTTATACGTAATCAGTTGATTTGTTTACCATTCAATTGCTAAGTAACCTTCTCGTTGCCAAAGTACACATTTCAAAGTCAATTTGGGTTTATTGCTGATCACTTAGTATTACCCTGTCTACTTGCGTCCCTCTGTCATGACCACAGAAAAAAAATGCATACGTGTAGTAGCAGGCACGGAGTAGACTTTGGCAATTAAGAACAGGATATATATTGCTCTGCCTGAGCCTGTCTGAACTCGTTTGTTTATGATCGTTCGCATCGCGGTGGCTTATCTCTCACACACACTCACACACACACTTAGATTAAGGTGACAAAATCACGCAGACTTAATGTGAATTTTATTGGGGAATTGGCGTTTATTTAGAGTGATCTAACCTTGAGCCCACTAACAAAATTCAAAATGTATGAACATACATGGCACTTAATAAACCTACCGGTTATTCAGCTAATAGATGAAGTGATTTTTTTAATAGAGAAGTGATGGGTTAGAGGGGAAGAGCATAATTACAATCCTGGTTTATGAATTTCAGAGAAAAAATGGCGTCTGGGATAAAAATTAATGTATACTGTGATCATTTAGTATCGCAGTACAAATGTGTTCAAAGGAAAAACCATCATTTTTCTTTTGGGCTCTGTACCCAAACACACTGGAGCAAAGTTTGTAAGTTAAGAACTGGTGAAGAAAAATTGTCACGATTCGTAATTAAATTCTTTTAATAAATCGACTTGCCACAAACAACAATGGAATGAAATCAATAATTTAGAAGTTTGTGATTTTCATGGA